TTTTAGACCGTTCTACATTACTGACTTGGTTTTAAACCGTTCTACATTATTGACTTGGTTTTAAACCGTTCTACATTATTGACTTGGTTTTAGACCGTTCCAAATTTCTGACTTGATTTTAGACCGTTCCACATTACTGACTTGGTTTTAGACCGTTCCAAGTTACTGACCTGCTTTTAGAACTTTCAAAATTACTGATTGGATTTTGGATGGTTTCAAATTACTGCCTCGTTTTTAAACCGTTCCAAGTTACTGACTTCTTTTTAGACTGTTCCAATTTATTGAATTGATTTTAGGCCGTCCTAACTTACTGACTTGCTTTTAGATCTTACCAAATTACTGACTTGTTTTTAACCCGTTCCAAGTTACTGACTTGTTTTTAAACCGTTTCAAGATACTGACTTCATTTTACACTGTCCCAATTTACTGAATTGATTTTGAACCGTTCCAAGTTACTGACTTGTTTTTGAACCGTTCCAAGTTACTGACTTATTTTTGAACCGTTCCAAGATACTGACTTGCCTTGAGACCTCCCAGGTTACTAATTTGCTTTTAGATCTTTCCAAACTACTGACTTGTTTTTAAACCGTTCCAAGATACTAACCATTCACCACAAATAGGGTCCAGCTTTGCACGACATTGAATTGAATTATGTTTTAATCTGTTATAATATTCACTGTAAAGAAATGATAAAAAATGAATGAAATCACTCATTTTTATGTTAAATATAATGGGAATACCAGTAATAAGTAGTCTAATTAATTGCAATATTGATGGTATCTTCGCTAAACTTTTTGTGTGTGACTCGTATGTTATAAGTGGATCTGTACATCCACAGTCAATTTGGTACACAAATAATCTAAAAATACGACAGGCCCCATATGAACACTGTCGATGATTCAAAAATTAATGTAATTATACTGTTTGTTCGTTTTGAATTTTGCGAAAAGCTACACGAGGGCTATCTGCGCTAACCGTCCCTAATTTAGCAGTGATAGACTAGAAGGAAGGCAGCTTGTCAACACCACCCACAGTCATTTCTTGGGCTAACTATTTTAACAACGAATAGTGGGATTAACATAACGCCCCCACGGCAAAAAGGGGTTGAGAAATTGTTATGTCACTGTTGCTATCTCGTCTCTTCGAAATTTGGTTCTTAAGTAATTTCATGCCCCCACCCCCCGTGGATCAGCGGTAAGTCTGAAGGCTTACAACGCTAAAAACTGGTTTTGAGACTTGTGATGGGCACAGCACATATAGCCCATCGTGTAGCTTTGTGACTTACAGACGAACAAATAATTTCAAAAACAGTTGCGTTAGAGCTAATTTGAACCTTTTTTTTAAAGTAGTATTTGACCTTACTAACTAGATTGTTAGCTATCTTAGAGCAATCCCAAAATATTTACTAGTTTCGGGTTGTATGGTAGGTATTAATACTGCATATGGGAAGGTTTAATGGCTTGCTTCAAAAACGAATTTACGGTCATCAAAAAAACTGAAATGTTAATGTGCCATCACATCGTTTTCTCTTGACGCTTGATTTGATCAGAATTATAACTTTCCACGTTATCACACTGTCTTTAATTGTATACTACCCAAAACTTGGCCCGGCATGGCCAGATGGTTAAGGCGCTCGACTTGCAATTTGGGGGTCGCGGGTTCGAATCCCCGTCACACCTTTCAGCCGTGGGGCATTATAACGTGACGGTCAATCCCTCTATTCGTTGGTAAAAGAGTAGCTCAAGAGTTGGCGGTCGGTGGTGATGACCAGCTGCCTTCCCTCTAGTCTTGCATCGGTTTCTTCAGATTATTGCTGTGGTTTTTACTGTAAAACTGCACAATAGATAATCTACACCCGGGGGATCGAGCACCGAATTTTAGCGTTGTAAGTCCATACATTTACCACTGACTCACTTGGGAGACGTTACTTTAGAGCATGGTTAAATTTTTTAGCAATATCTTATTCATTTATGGAATAAGTAGCGACATTTCAATTTTATGTAAAATGCAACAACTGATCTTACTATAAACAAGGTTATGTTAATTAGCCGAGAGCTATTCGAGAACACTTAATTTTGGGTTTTATTGTTTGTTTGTTTTTTGAATTTCGCGCAAAGCTACACGAGGGCTATTCTGCGCTAGCCGTCCCTAATTTAGCAGGGATTTCTGCTATTTCATTTTTGTCTAGAAATACATGGGTTCTATATTTTATTAATTCACGTACCCTAGATCAGGAAGGTTTTAAATTTTTCAGTATGGCAAGGTGAACATTCAAGGCTCTCCCCCCCCCCCAGTGGCACAGCGGTATGTCTGCGGACTTAGAACGCTGGAAACCGGGTTTCGATACCCGTGGTGGGCAGAGCACAGATAGCCCATTGTGTAGCTTTGTGCTTAATTCCAAACAAGCAAGGCCCTCTATTTTTTTTGTAATTAAACATCGTCGCAGAAAAACAGCGTTATAACGTTAGTTCAATAACACAGTTCAACAGGAACAGTTTATTTTAAAATTATTCCTTAACTATAAAAACAATTCCAAGATATGTAGAATATGCTTGGACTGTGCATTCGAGGATTTATGGTTCGCTTCCCATTGCCGAAAAAATGCGCTCTATACTTTAGGGCCGTAGATGCGCTATAAGAGTAACGGTCAAATCCAATTATTCAGACAGATAAAGTTTGTTTGTTTGGCATTAAGCACAAAGCTACACAATGGGCTATCTGTGCTCCGCCCACCACGGGTATCGAAACCCGGTTTTTAGCGTTGTAAGTCCACAGACATACCGTTGTGCCACTGGGGCATGTCGAAACATAAAAGTATTACTCGAAAGAAAATGAAAGACAACGCGAGACTGAGGAGGGGGGGGGAGACACGAAACTAGTTTCTTCGATATCAAAACGTCTGACAGTTGTTTTTTATTTTTTCTTTCGTTTACTGTGGTTCTTTTATTCGCTAACTTCTACACACAATTTTGTGTTATCGTGTTTGTTTGTTTGTAATTAAGCACAAAGCTATACAATGAGCTATCTATGCTCTGCCCACCACGAGTATCGAAACCCGGATTCTAGCGTTGTATGTCCGAAGACATACCGCTGTGCCACTGGGGGGGGGGGCTTGTGTTATCTTATGATGGTCTTACTCGAAATTTGCGAAGAGTGAAATCAAATGAAAGTCGCTGGTAATAAAGAAATTAAGTTGTTTCGGACTATTCTAAAAATCCCCCAGCAACCAGGATAGTAATTAATAACACGACGAGAACGTTTTTTTTTTGCAGAGGCCAAAAAAAACAAACAACATAAAAATGCGTGTCGCGGGGCTAGTATTTTTCTTGTCAAGATGAGAATAAAAAGTTTAAAGAAGAAATAAATCTTATAATATCACCTGTCTCGTACTGTCGCGAAATTAATCCCACTAGACACTCTGTTCGCCCCAGGGTGGGGGGGATTAATTGTATAACGTCACACAGCTTGTCAAGATAAAAAAAAAAAATGACATGAGGGGTCTTTGTATTATTTATCAGGATCACAGAAGGCATGTAGCTTCCAAGTTCACTGTCCTTATTAGCCGAAACAATCAATAAAACAATCTCCACCAAACAGTACTTTTCCTGTATTTCCATGTTTGGTTGCATTGCTCCAAACACAACAG